GTCTGAGTGACCATCACTTCGTGATCTTTTGAAGCTCTGCTTAGTTTCTCTACTAAGCTTGGAAGTGATTCGGTTGGTATCAGTAATGTCTTTTACCGCCTTGGGTAGATCATCTCCAAAAAGCTCAGTTGTTATTGGGTTTGAGGGAGCACAAAGATAGCGGTAGCTTGTGTGAAGCTCCGGTTTTAGAGCCTCCCTACGCCTCAGATTTAACTCTGTGTTAGAATTAGCCATCAACAGAACACCATCCATGAGTTGGTTAACTAGTTGACCCTTTGATGGCATATCTGGCTTGCTGATCAGGTCATTTACAACCTGGACCACTGCAGTTGTACCCTTAATAAGGGATTTTTGCCCCTTCTGGAATTTAAGATCTAAGGTACGTGCTCTCTCTGAAAGATTATTCCAGATTGGTAGGTTGACCCTAGTTTCGGCCAGCATATCACAGTTTTTTGGCCTGAGATACCGTTTTTTGATTTCATTCAGCTTATCTTCCTCAGGTTTGTCTTTCAATAACTTTTGGACAATAGCGGCTAAGTTTCCATGAATTTCAGCGCCATCTTGTTCAGAGACATTAAACTCCTTTTCGAGTTTATTAAGTATGTCACTATTGTCCTTAGGCAGAGCAATGCCATCATCGGTTTTTTGTTTTTTACGAGCAGGTTCCTCAGGTTCTATGTCTGAGCCGCCGCCACGGTCATCCGACTCGGAGTCGGAAGCTACAGAAGCGTTATTCTCGCATGCGGCGGCGTTTTTTGCCTTGAGCAAATCGCCCAAATTGCTAAATCCCTTGTTCATCTCCACCGCAAGACCAGAAAAAGCCTCTTTGAGAAGGGCAGCCACATCAGTGGTTAAACTTTGACCTGGGGTAGCAGATTTTTGTGAGCCGCTACGACGCTCTTTTGGCGCGCTTTTTTCCCTCGAGGAACGGCTAGGTTTTGTCACAGTTTTTATGACCACTGCCGTCTTAGAGGCACCAGAGCCAGTAGAAGGTGCTTTCTCGCTCTTCTTTTGCAACTTGTAATCACATTTAAGTGATTTTGTGGGATCTTTAGTCCCAGAAGTGGGCTCTGCGTCTTTTGACAGCAAGCCTTTGTGCTTCTCCGCACGTGTTTTGCTTGATCCTGCGGAAAACTCTTCGTCCCAGTCGTTCAAACTGGCGTCTAAGGCCGAGTCCATCTCTGGCAATTTGGAAATGGTAGTTTCCTTTGCTAAATTCAATGACTCGCTCATTTTTAGTAGATAAAAGAGCTGTATTTTTGGAAAAAATCCTCAAATACAGCGATAAAAAGTCAATCTGATTGGCGACAAACGTTGCGCTGATTGGCGCATGCGCTTGCTATCTCATGGAATCTCTCAGCATGGTAACGAGGTAGAATTCAAATTTCTAACTTTAAGCTGAAATCTATGAACGTATAATGATCACTTTATACTCATTTGCACATCTAAAAGCATTCTTGGTTTTTTTTGTATCACACATCAATATTCCAATTTCTTACAATTTGTAATTTGTGGTGTGTGATGCTTGTGATGAAGACCGGTGAAATCAGCTATTAAGAATATAGGTGACAGACAAAAAACCTAACATTGTTTTAAAGTAAAGAGTATCAACATTGTTTTTAAATATTTATTTTAACCTTCTCTGAGTAATAAATTGAGTGATCTGCCTTGCTCAACCCTTTTTTAGGTTTAAAAGAGCAGAACAACTTCTACACAGAGTTGATGCCAAAGCTTCAATCTGTGTTAGAGGATGCCAAGGAATTCTTACATCCATATGAAGCTATGGTTGACCAGTGCAGAGAAAACTTGGGCAGCAGCACTGCTGAGAAACTTTGTAAAAGGAAGAGAAGCAAAAATAAATTAAAGGAGGCAAGAAGAAAACGTCAAAAAGCTTCAACATGTACCGAAACAATAAATGTGGATGAGGAAGAAATTAATCCAAAAAGAGATAACAAGGAAGGAGGAAAACAGGAAGATGAGGATGAGTGGACAGATTGTGATACAGTTTGAAGATATTATTTTTTTTAGTACGATGTTGATAAATCAGCAGGGGTGTTTTGCAGAATGCAGGACGTAGAATGCTTAATGATGGTCAGCGGTATATAGTGACAACCCTAACAGTAAATAAAAGCTAACCATACTTCGAGTCAGTGCTTAACCCTAATCACTATTTTCAGTGATATATACTGCTGACCATCATTCGGCGTTCGGCGTTCTGCGTTCAGTGTTTTGCATTCTGCAAAATACCCCTACCATTGACAAATTATGATATATTCTTACCATATTGATACGTTAAAGTTTTTGTTTATAAAATACAATTATGATGATGATATTGTTATTATCAAGAACCAGAACGAAAATTGTCTAAAAATGTGTGGTAAAAATAGATAAATTTGACCAAATGTTTAAAGTCTGAAAAGAACATGTATCTTTGAGTTAGTTCCATTTATCTAAAAGGACCAGCAACAACTGTAAAAACAAAATCTAAGAAAATAGATTTTTTTATTATTTTTATTTTTATTTATCTGTTGCTTGTTAGAAGTACCAAGAAATAATATAAATTATATTCTGGGTGTTTCCTTCGATTTGTGGGAAATACTCTGATTATTGTTATCTATGATATTTAAAAGAAATGTTTTGTTCCAGACATTAGATATATAACACAAAGTAAGGAAATGATAACCTTATAAGATGTTGATTTTTTATAATACATAGAAAAGTATAATTAAATTTATTTAAAGTTATTTAATAATCATATCTGAAATTGCCAGCCATTAAAATTTATGATAAGCTTACAAGCCTCAGATTTATTTTTTTGTATCAGGTATGACTATTTACAAGACCAAAATTCAGCAGGAAGTTTATTCAAAGGGCTGATGTTTTGCACACAGTATGCTTTCCTGCCTGCCTTCTTGAGATTTGTGCAAAATGTGTGGAAGGCCAATGCAGGAATTTTTTTCCTGGTCTACTCTGCATCCATGATTTTTTTTTCACCTAATTTTCCCTTGCATGAATTTTTTTTTGTACTTCGTTCGCACCCCCCCCCCCCCATAACTTTTTTAATGGTCCGTCCCTAAGTGTCATTATACAAACCTAACCTTTGAAGTCGTGAAGAACGTTTAATAACAATGACTTAAAAAAGCATTAATATTCCAAATTACACTTGACGTCCATACATCGTGGGCTGGAGATTCAATCGCATAGAGAGTTTGGTGACAGGAATGGTCACTTTTCCATTCATGCTTACTAGGCTACACGTCAGTGAGGTTTACATAGACTATCGCATTGACTAACAAGTTTCATCTCGACCAATCAAAAGTCGGATCGATTCCTGTATTTGGCCGCAAGTATTACCCATAAGCACCGCCATGTTTGTTGGTTGAGCTATACTGATTACCAGTCTCCCACCAAGTGAATTCCGTCGTCACGTGCGCCTTTTGAACCAATGGAAAAGTGTGAAATGAAGTTCCATTTGGTCAGTTCAAATTCACGCGGACNTTTTTCCCACACTTTTCTTTCTTTCCTCCCTTTTTTAATTTTTTTCAAAAGTGTTGGAAGGCCCATTTCTGAATTTTTTTCCCGGTCTCTCTCTCCTCCATTTTTTTTTTTTCCCCTAATTTTCCCCTTCATTAATTTTTTTTTTTACTTTCTTCGCCCCCCCCCCCCCCCCCACCATAACTTTTGTAATGGTCCGTCCCTAAGTGTCATTATACAAACCTAACCTTTGAAGTCGTGAAGAACGTTTAATAACAATGACTTAAAAAAGCATTAATATTCCAAATTACACTTGACGTCCATACATCGTGGGCTGGAGATTCAATCGCATAGAGAGTTTGGTGACAGGAATGGTCACTTTTCCATTCATGCTTACTAGGCTACACGTCAGTGAGGTTTACATAGACTATCGCATTGACTAACAAGTTTCATCTCGACCAATCAAAAGTCGGATCGATTCCTGTATTTGGCCGCAAGTATTACCCATAAGCACCGCCATGTTTGTTGGTTGAGCTATACTGATTACCAGTCTCCCACCAAGTGAATTCCGTCGTCACGTGCGCCTTTTGAACCAATGGAAAAGTGTGAAATGAAGTTCCATTTGGTCAGTTCAAATTCACGCGGACTTGGCATTAACAAGAGTACATTTTATAGTACTTTGCAACCGAAATTGACGTTATTTTAAAGGCGGATTGTTCCTTTATTTTGTTGTTAACACATGAAACTTGCTTCCAGTCATATCTGAGAACGATAAGTCAGCTGGATTGTGAAAGGTAAAGGTATGTTCCTGCTTCGTAATGTGTCTTCTGGTGGTCACTGCGTACTGACAAATAATAAAGCAGGAGATCAAAGTTAACTTATAGATCGCACCGATATGAACGGGAAACTTCAAGATGCAATGAAATACCATTTATCGGTTCTTTTCGTCTACTGTAGACATGGTTAGAATCCTGCATCAATAAGTTCAACTGTGATTCTGGTACATCTTACAGCAGAACTTCGCTAACTCGAACTAAATTTGCTTTCCCTTGATCAAAATTTCGCTGAAATTTACCTCATAACTCGTCAATTCCCCGCTTAAACTCGAACTCTTTGTTGTTTACCTTCAGAGTTTGAGTTACCTGCCGGGGTTCTACTTTAGTTATGAAAATGTAAACGCCATGTCTACTACAATATTATTATTATTATTTAAGTTTCCAGTTCATTATTTTGTTCTCTTGCGTTTCATACCTGGGCCCATTTGTTCAAAGGCCTAAAGTATTTTCTCGGACAATTTTCTTTGTTCTTTTTAGAGCTTCCAATCATCAACTTGTAGACAAAAAGAATTAAAACTGAAATGCTTTTTAAGCTTTCAAATATGAATTCAAATCTCACAATAACCCTGGGTTATCTTAACCCAGCTTTGAACAACCCGGCTCTGAGTAAATAGAGACCTTAAGCAGCTTCGTCGCGGACGAAGATGAGAACGACCGGAAGTCATATTTCACCTTTTCTTCGGAGTGCGC